GCACAGGGCCTTAGTGGGAACATGCACACTAACTGTCCTGGGCCTTTGATTATCAACCACACACACACCTGCATGTCTTTACCTTTCATTTGAGTGCATGGAATATGGGAGAGTTCCAGATGTTACCAAGTGAACTGTAAAATCAATTCCTCCCACAACATTGTGTTAATGTGCACAATTAAATGTAACCATGGAAATGTAATGAACAGAATTCCACCATACACTTTTTTTTCTAACAGGCATTACAACCATTAATTTAATTTGCTCTGATCAGAGCCAAAGCAGAAAGCTTAAAATAAATAAATAAAAAAAACTTTATTATAATTATTAATAATAATAATAATAATAATAATGTACACATACATTAATTTTCAGAAGTTTTTTTTACCTACCCACCTTATATAACTTAGAAAATACTTGAAAAGGCATATATAGATATATGTACATGACATGCTGATATTTAGAAATATTTTTTTACTTTTCATTTTATTTGTATAATACATAAAAATGAGTAAATTAGTTTTTAAATGAACGAATGAATAATAATTTTTTTTTTTTTTTAAATGTCAGCATGTCCGAACAGGGAAGTTAGATGCATTTAATAGTGAGTATGTTGATCTGTAACAACATCTGTAAGCAGAAACGGGTCAGGGAATTTCCCTACAGTTAGATATAGGTTTAAAGGGATAGTTCACCCAAAAATGAAAATTTGATGTTTGTCTGCTTACCCCCAGGGCATCCAAGATGTAGGTGACTTTGTTTCTTCAGTAGAACACAAACTGAGATTTTTAACTCAAACTGCTGCAGTCTGTCAGTCATATAATTTAAGTGAACGGGAATCACGGTTTTGAGAGTCATAAAACATACACAAACAAAACCAAATTAAACCCTGCGGCTCGTGATGATACATTGATGTGTAAAGACACAAAATGATCGGTCGGTGCAAGAAACTGAACAGTATTTATATCGTTTTTTTACCACTGATTTTCACCGCAATGTCTGAACTGTCCCGAGTTTGTTCACGTCTTCTTGCTTTACGGCGGATCGCAGACTTAAGTGCATTACCGCCACCTATCTCTCAAATGGACCACTGGCACTCTATCTGGATTTGACACTCCATCCATATGCACTTATAAGTCTGCGATCCGCCGTAAAGCAAGACGACGACGCCTCACACGCAGGCTAAAGAAGACAATGCGAACGAGCTCAGGACAGTTCAGACATTGCGGTGAAAATCAGAGGTAAAAAAACGATATAAATACCGTTCAGTTTCTTGCACAGACCGATCGTTTTGTGTCTTTACACATCAATGTATCATCACGAGCCGCAGGGTTTAATTTGGTTGGTTTTGTTTGTGTATGTTTTATGACTTTCAAAGCCGTGATTCCCATCCACTTACATTATACGACTGACAGACTGCAACTGTTTGAGTTAAAAATCTCAGTTTGCGTTCTACTGAAGAAACGGTCACCTACATCTTGGATGCCCTGGGGGTAAGCGGATAAACATCAAATTTTAATTTTTGGGTGAACTATCCCTTTAACTGTAATACAAATGTTTGAATAGAGACATGTGGTCAAGAATAAGAGCTAAATAAACAGGCTTTTAACATTTAATTTTCATTTAGCATACAAATAAATGTAAATCAAATACATGTACCAGTAAGGGCTAACTAAAGATTTGAATTTTTAGCCCACTGTGATGGATATAGGTCAGGACTATCTATATCAGCCACAGAGAGCAGCTCAAGCCTGCAGCAGAGACTGCTGATTCATACTTGTGCTTTTAAGGGCAGTGGAGCAATGCAGCGGAGACCAACACCACAGGGGCCAGTGAACCCTTGGGAATGAACACCTCAGTGAACCAAGATCATTCAAACACTTGAAACTATCAGTCTCCACCATTATGAGAAAACACTGGAAGAAAGTGTCCCTCCATCTCAAATAGCAAATCTACGGTCATAGTCATCACTAAAGTTTGACGTTTTTTTTTGTTTTTTTTTTAAGATTTTAATATAGGAAAAGAACAACTTTATAGAAAATATTATATTTATATTTTCAAAGAAAAGAACATGAAAAAAGAATGGGCTTTCAATACTTTATTTTTCCCCTTGATACACATTTTCCTTATTCTCAATTCCATCGAAAGGAAAATTATAGTGAGGTAAAAGTGCTGAGAAACAAAATGGCATAATGAATCTACATCATAAATCACCACGGCGACATCAGAGAGCCGACATAACCATTTCAAAATAATAGTGCGACTTCTTCCATTTTTCACTTTTTTAAACTCACAATCATTAGCATCCTCACAGACAAACAATCACACACAAAAAAAAAAAAAATCTGTTGAAATCCACAACTCTTCTTGCAACATTGCAAAAGGGCTTCAAAAAAAGGCCTCAATCATCATTAAGACTTGCACTTTAGACAAGCATGTCCAAATCCAATAAATCGCCCCTGCAGAGTTACAGATGCATTCAGAGCTGTGTAACATCTTTGTCTACTGAATAAAGGGTAACACTGGGGAATATGGAATTACAGCTGACAGAGGGGACAAAGAAAAAAGAAAAAAGAAAAAAAAACAACAGAATATGAAGAAGAAGAAAAAAAGCAGCATGTTTTCCCATTTTTAACACTCCCCTTTCAAGAAACATACTACACACAGACTTCAAAAAGGAAATGATCCAAGCCTCATCACACCAGGCATTATCTATGTCAAGCGCATTTGAACAAGATAAAAAGCACACAAAACAACTTTTTTTTTTGTTTTCATACATGATCAAAAAAAAAGGACAGATTAAGGTGAGATTCGGTTGACCAACCACTACAGATCATACAAACTAGCTTTTACACATAAAAGGAAAACCAGTTCAACAATAGTACTTGCTCCTGATGAGCCAACATTTTATGTACTTTAAATTCCTTAGTAATACAATGCTTTTAAAACGGTTTCACTTTTCAGGAAGTTGGCTGAACAAGAGTTGTTACCCTCAAGACACACTGTAGCCCTTTATCATGTCTCTGAGACACCCCAAAAAAAAAAAAAAGGCACCTTATAGCTTGTCACAAGGCCTGTAAAGTGCATTCATTGACATGGGTATTTAAACTATTTCAAAAAAATCTGATGGCATTCATACTTCTTCACCCTTGTTTAATGGACCGGCAAAAATCTATTGACACCAAATTGTTCTGAAACCAGAGGATGAGCTACAAGGTCTTTACATTGGTTTCATACATGAAACCCAAATGGGTCACCGCAAAAAAGGCACATATGTGCTGTGTTGCTGGTTCAAACATTGGTTTAGTCTGCATGTCCCAAAAACACAGAGCGAGAGAGAGAGAAGAAAAAAAAAGAAAAAAAAAAAAGTGTGGTGGCCAAAATACAAAAAAAAACAACAACTTGAGTACAAATCCATTCCAGCTCAGTGCACTTTGGGGTGTAACCCACTGAATGGGAGGCCATGTGACCCATCTCTCTTTACCCTAGAAGTCTGAGAGCGCAGATAAGAGAAGGAACGTGGCTCATGGTTATCTGGTGCATGTGCTTGTACAAGCTGAAGCAGCAGGAGCTGTGGCGCGTGAGCAGAGGTGAAGAGGAAACCTGAGGGGCAGGGGGCAGCTGTCGGCCATTACGTAAGAGCAGCTAGCAGAGTACTACCCTTCTCTGAACGGACGAATGTCGAAAGAGGAACTACACATGGGCATGATGGGGGGCCAGGACAAGAATAGATATTTACATAATTTAATACTGTCTAACATACAAAAGGCATGGAACTGGCTTTACATCAAATTCACTGACAAAAGGACCAAGACAGGAGACATCGAAGCCCAATAAAGATCAAGAGCAGCAACCCCAGCAACATCAATTAGATCCAAAACTGGAAAGGAATCCACACCCTCATTCATTTACGTCCATGTGAATGAGCACGGGTATATTCCTCAGCTACGGCAACCCCTCCCAGACCTCAATTACCAGAAAAGGCTTTGTGACATACCAGCGTTCAATCCTCATCTACAGTGATGCTAGTCAGAAGCACAGGAAAGACAGTTGCCCCACTAGAAATTCCACCCCACATGCTGTCCATTCAAGGCACATCCCGAGAGGTGCAGGAAGGGATAATTTTAGAGCACTGTGACACTATTTGGCTTGGCTAGGCTGTTAGCTGGAAGAGGTCTTGTTACACATAGCAGTGTTAAGTCTACTAATGGTCACAAAAAGCTCAGGAGGACAGATCGTCCAACAGCTGAACCTTGTATGGACAAACATGAACTCTCTATCCCACTTAAACAGAGATGAAGGAAGGTTTAACCACTAGAGCTGAAAATATTCATTAATCTTCATAAAAATGGACTGTTTAACTGCTCTCTCTGCTCTATGGGAAAAGGAAAAGCATCTTTTTGTACATGCTGCAACCAAATTCAAATTTCAGTCTCACCTTCGATGTAAACCTGTTCAGTCTTGCTAGTTACAAACGGCACAATTCTCAAAAACATACTGTAGAACACAAGTCATCTATATGCATTCACACAGCAAACTGAAGTGCATTGCTATGAATACTTTAACATGTTCCTGTTCACATTTCTATTTGAGAACAAAAAGAATTTAGCTGCCCACCAGTGTACCAAAAAAAACGAACAAAAACTCCTGATAACCCAAGTCCTAAAATACCTATTATTTCACCTGTGCTCACATTTTTCATATCTTTTTCTTTCAATTTTTTTGTATTTTTTTTCTCTCCAAATTTCTAAGAACATTATTACTTTTTTTGGCCTTTTTATTTTGTAACACACGGGAAAAATATTAATTCGTCTCAATATGCATTTTCTTTCATTTTTAAGGTTAGAATATATTAAGGCACTATGGGAATTGTTTCTCTTCAAAATGGAAAAAAAATCTCTCAAGTCAGGGACAGAGATGAGAGCAAACATATCTGAAACTTTAGAATCTTAAGTAAAAAAAAAAAAAAAAAAAGAAAAGAAAAAAGGGGAAAAAAGAAAATTCAAATCACTAAAATATATCACTTTAAATCAGAAATGTCTTGGCACATCTGCAGAGAAGGAAATAAAAGAAAAAAGAAAAGAAAGGAAACACTTGTCATTTTAAATATCCTTTATGCCTACGGAAGGAAACATCCCTTACTGCCATATCCGGCTTTCTGGCCAACTCATGAATTTTGTTGTTGAACAAGCATCTTTGAGTCTTAGTTACAAGGCAACCAAGTTGGAATGGACTGGTTACAAGAGGCCACATAGTAGTTGTTGAAGTTCAGGTCTCTGACATACGGAGCCGGCTGGTAGTAACAGGTGACGCTAGATGCATCAGGTATGGCATTCTGCTCGGCGAGCACCCGAAACGCCATCAGCGAGATGAGGTTAAGCGTCTGCCGCCTCTCGTGTCCCATGAGACACACGGTGCTCTCGTTCACGACCCGCCGCAGGATCATGAGGTAGTTGTACTTGCTCTTCTCCTCACCGACAAAGTGGCTTTGCAGATAAGCCTCCAGTTTGCGCTGTTGCTCACCAATGTCGGGAAAGTCAATGAAGAAACGGGAGCACATGTAGCGCTCCAGGGCCTTAAATTCATCTTCGTCTGTGGGCCTAAAGTCCCTCACCAGGAGGTTGCAGTATTTGAGCAAACCACCTCCACGGATCTCCTCCGGCCGTTTGGTGGCAATGAGCTTGTTCCTGAGGTGGTCCAGAGCCACAGCAAAGTCGCCGTACACGCTCTCCCCGACCACAGTAGGGTGGAAGTGCCGAGACATGGGGTTTTCTGAGAAGTCGTAGTATGACAGAACAGAGTCCAATATGATCTGAAAGGAGTCCACGCTGAACTCAAACTGTCTCCGGATCGAGTCCACAAACTTAAGTTCCACATTGCGGCCGTTGTTGTTTGACAGCGAGATGAGGGACCAGCGGTCCTGCTCGGTGTACACTTTGACGAGCTTCTGGACATAGGCCTCTTTCAGCGTCATGGGAGTGATCTTCTCTTTGTTCACCCCCTCTGGCAGAAAGTCCAACAAAGTGCTCAGAACCACATCTTTGATGAGCTGGAACTCCTCTTCCCGAGGAAGGTCTACCCTGAAGATGACGTCCAGGTCTTTGTAGCTCCAGCCAATGTCCTTTACCAGCACGTGGCTGGCGGTGGAACCATTCAGACGTACATCTTTGACCATGATGCCCCTCAGCTCCAGACGGTTCCTAACCATCTGGACAATATCCTTCAGCCGGACCTCCAGGGTGGGAAAGTTGCCACGTCCGTGAACCGGCACGGCCTCCGTCAGCACGTCGTTCAAGCGGCTCACTTGCTCCCAGGTAAGCACACTTTGTGACTCACTTTCGCTGCTGGATGAGGCTGAGGCCATGTTTGCCATCTATGCAGTTTCCTGGAATAAAATATAAGTGCAAAAACAATTTCACTGACTCAATAAATCTTCAAAAAAAATCTCTTAAACTATCTAGAGTAAATATTTAGTTCGATAATTAGCTTGAACTGAAATAAAACACTGTGTACTTAAAGAACATTATATACAATGTCCAACAGGTTCACCACTCTCTCATAACAGAAGAGCTAACAATGATTCACAGGCTTTCCAGAGGGCCAAACAAACTCTAAACAGTAACTGAAGCATTTATACCCCTTGTCCAAATACCCACACTTGCGGTCTTGGCCACTTGAGAGCGCGTGCGCACGACAGGAAGTAAGTGTGCAAGTCTGTCCCATGTCTTCAAAATGCCAAAGTGCAGTGCCCTTAATGGATACTAAATCCACACTCTCTCGAATACTGCTCCAGAGCGCTATTCAAGGCTAAGTGTATCCCATCATGCATCATGTTCTGGAAATAAATCGTGAGACTTTTTGCCAAGATCTCGCGAGAGGTCACGGAAACCTTTCCAATGCAAGTTAAATATTAATATAATAACTAGATATTACAAATAATTTGGTAGAAAAACTGTTTTTACTTTTATTGGTGCAAAGATGAGTTGTGGTGATATTTATTTTGTACAACATTTGCAACTGCTTTTTATCACTTAATTAGAAGCACCACAAATTAAAATTATGTCATGTCTGTTCAGTAGTCCCTATAACATTTAGAAGTTGATTTTAAAATGCAAAGTATGTCAAATTAAAATTAAAATAAAGCTGTGTAAACACTTGCATTTTTACAACACTACAAGTGTGTCCCATCAGGTAATGAAAAGTTCGACACACACTTGTGGTCTTCATCCTCACTTGAAGACTTCGGCCAAATACAGGAAATACGTCATTTAAGTAATCAAGTGGTCAAGTGCAAAGACTGCAAGTGTGGGTATTTGGACAAAGCCATAGTGTGACACTCAGCTGCTCCTCAATTAATTCAACATGATTCCCAATGAAAAACATAAAAACTAATCTCAAAAGAGCACTGATCAATCACGCACACTAAAACTTAAAGACACGTCTAAACCAAATTACATTCATGGCTTAAATATCTTGTCAGAATATCATCACTATAGAATGTAGAATGTGTACAGGATTCCCATCATAATTTTAAAACAACCAGAGGAAGAATTTAAAGGATACAACAAGATTAAAATAAAAGTAAAAATATATAAAAAAGTAAAAAATATATATATATATATTTTTTTTTTTTACAGTCCCATTGATGTCTTATTAGGACATTTTCATCCTATTGGTAATAAGTTTATTTATTGAAAATAAACGTGTTAGAAAATATCAGATTTTTATCTTTTTATGTTGGAATAAAGAAAATTTACAGTCGGAATACTTTTGGATTGGTTCCAAATTATGATGGAATTACACATTAGACGAAGATAAAGATAACGTACATGGCTGTCTGCACGCGAACTCAACAATATAAACTTTATCATAACCACAACGTAAGTAACGTTAAATAAAAGCATACGTACAATGTTACAAACACAACGCATTTGGTTGGGGAAAAAATCAAAACGAGTTCTTTATTCGGAGTATGATGTATAAATAAAAGACAATCGTTTAAAACAGCGCACGTGAGAGATCAAAAGAGCCCCAAAACTGCGCGAGATCAGCGTTCAACCCAAGCAAACCAAATACATTTAATCCGAAACGCAAACTTTAAAGTGAATCGTCCGACTGCATCCGAATCACACAGATCCAACGCGTTGGTACCAAGTTATAAATATGAATTATGTCCACCTACTGTCTCAGCAAATCCACCTGAAGTGCTCAGCAACGTGGTCGGCACAAAGTAGTGGATGTCAAATAGGGTTTCGCACCAACACCTCCATCCATCCGATCAGTCGTCAAACGCTAGAGCTTCAGTTCTGAAGAGCTCACACATGCGCGCTCTCTTATAACTGCCTACAAAACAACCTGGTTCCACGCACCTCCACTGCGCACTATTTTTCTGAAGCCTTGCCATCAACACACACATCATCGCACATAAACATATTTATTTTATTTAACAGATAAAATCATAAATAATCTGTCTGTATTTTACTTACCATTACTCCCATGTTAGGGTCCGCAATACAAAACATCTATGGGCTAAGGCTCCATATGGAATTCAAAAACATACGGCGTTCTATTCGTTGGTATCAATGCGCCAGGCGAAGCCTGTGATTGGCTGATGAGGTTTTTGTGTTGCCAGGCAACCACAGGCACGTGTCGAATTTGATGTCCGGCTTTTGCAGAGAGTAAAGCAGGTTATAACTAACTGGAACACATTTGGTAACCTGAGGTTTGAGATTACCTCAAATATTCATGTTTTTCAGAAAGTGCATTAGGTAAGCTTGGCATCAGTTAAAAATATTTAAAGCTCAGCCTCTTCTTGTTGTCAGAGTGGAAATTATACAACAAATAAAATAATTTGCTATTGCTTGATGATGATGATCAAACATGTTAAAACAAAATTTAGGCCTATATTATTTTTTCATTTGATGATAATAATAATAATAATAATAATAATTCATTACATTTATATAGTGCTTTTCTAGGCACTCAAAGCGCTTTACATTGTCAGGGGGTATCTCCTCATCCACCACCAGTGTGCAGCATCCACCTGGATGATGTGACGGCAGCCATAGTGCGCCAGAACGCCCACCACACACCAGCTTATTGGTGGAGAGGAGACAGAGTGATGAAGCCAATTAGCAGATATGGGGATTGTTAGGAGGCCATGATGATCAGATGCCAATGGGCAAATTTGGCCAGGATGCCGAGGTCACACCTCTACTCTTTTCGAAAGACATCCTGGGATTTTGAATGACCACAGAGAGTCAGGACCTCGGTTTAACGTCTCATTCGAAGGACGGTGCTTGTTGACAGTATAGTCATATATGATAAAATAAAAGGCAAAAAATGGAGGCTAGGAGGAAGAGATGTGTTGTAACTTGCATTTGTAACAAAAGCATCTGTGCATTTCTCCTACAATTCTGCTGCATCTAGCTGACTTTCAGTTCTATATATGAAGTGTTAAAATATTCAAGAATGTAGTCAGGTAGGTAATACTGCAGAAATATTCACATATGCATAGTGATGATAAGTACTAACCCTCACAAGGTGACAGAACTGTTCATATCAGTACAGTAGTATCAGTAAAGTACCAGCAAAACAATTTATGATCCTTTGATATTGTGAGGACCTTTTCTAAAATCATTCTGAACATGGATTCACTATATTTGTGAGGACATTTTTTTTAAAATTTGGCCCTCAAAAACATACCCCCACACAAATGCTCTTTTGTAGGCGGTGTCCTTCATAACTGAGAAAAACAGACACTAATTAATATTTGTTTTGGAAAAGCTGGATCTACGAGAAACTCAAATAATTATTACATACATTTACACTGAGTCTATAAAGAATGGGCCACGCTGTGGTGAGTGTCAGTGAAATTGTGGATGGTGAGTTTGAGGGAGTAAGAATAAGCATGACTGGGGAAAACACAACATCAGCACATACAGCATATCGCTGATGCTGCCGAGTAAATCAACAGACCTAGTGCAGCCTCCAGAGGAAATATGAGGGAGGGATATTCCGGTCTGTAGGTTCCTTCTGAATCTTTTCTTAGCAATGATGTGGGTATAAATTACACGAGAAAGCGAAACAGGAAATGATTGCTCAGTAGCATGTGAGGAAACTCCAGTTTTGTGTGCTGGGTCTCTGAACCACAATGAATTTTGTGAATGGCAGAGTAAAGAGAAAGAGAGAATGAGACAGCAACAGAGAGAGAATTAGAAACTGGATCTGAGGGACTGTCCTAACAGTTTTGTGTTAATCTAACATGACGTCAATGGTGAGGACGAGCAGATAATTATATGAGATAAGAAAAAATACACACAAGATGCTATTCCCCGAGCCACTGACATTTATGATGGGAGCCTCATTCCCACGCGGATTCATACACACACAACAATCAACATTAAACATTGTTTTAGGGAATAATTGCACCACATTTTAAACATTTGATTAAATTTCCAGTCTTGACAGCAAGGTAAAGTTTCCAAAAAGGATGATGCATTTACATATTAAAATGAGGACGAAGCATGAAAGATGTGCTACTTAAGTGAAGGAAAGTGATTTATGTCAGTATGTACAAAATAAGAGCATCTGGATTATTACTGCCCAAACTGGATAGTAAACTTTTTCTTAGTTGGATTTTTTTTAATAACTTGATGACCTGGAAAAAAAAAGTCATGAGTCATAACCACAAGAAAAAAAAAAGAGAGATGGCAAAAGGAGGCGGCAGAGGTCATGAGCTGGGTGTCATTTGCCCTCTTTCAACAACCCTAGAGCTCTATCACAAATGTTTGCCAACAACATCACATGGAGCTCAGAAGAAAGTCACACCTAAGACTAATTAATCGTTGAATACATTTTTTATAGCATCAATCAAATAAACCGCACCAAACATCATGGTTAATGCCTTTGAGAAACATCTTGCAATACATGAAGTCTTATGAGGCTAAGCAAGCATTTTCTTTCACAGATGGACTTGATAGAATAAATCAACTTCACAGAGAGCGCTGAATCGAGTAGAAATTAAGCATTAAGCAGTGTTGTTCAAAGGTGAATGCCATTTAGTTTGAGGAGTAGCAATGCCACCTGCTGCAGCTGGGCTCAGCGCCAAGTGGAAATGACTCACTGTCCATGCTACGGATGATTAACCGGTGGACATTAACACATTAAACACACTGAAGGAGGCGCGCACACGCACATACAGGCCATTAACACATTAAACACTCCACTACGTTTACGGACATCCACGCAATTGTTTTTTTTCCCTGTCTATCAGTCCGATGACTCATGGTGACATTCATAATCTCTTTCCTGTGACATCAGCAACCCTCGGGGATCTATTGATTACAATTCAGAGCTCCTGAAAAACAAAAACACGATGCAGAAGGTCTCATGCGTCCTCAGAAGAGAGGTCTGGTTAATACCAAAGGGGTGGATGGAGCACTGGCTCTCAACTGCTGGACAAATTTATCTGCCAGCTGCACTCTTAAAAATAAAGGTGCTTCACGATGCCATAGAAGAACCTTTTTGTCTAAATGGTTCCATAAAGAACCGTTAATATCTGAAGAACCTTTCTGTTTCACAAAAGGTTCTTTGTGGTGAAAAAAGGTTCTTCAGATTACAAAAAGGTAAGAAAGAGATGGCTCTTTAAAGAACCTTTGACTGAATGGTTCTTTGTGGAACCAAAAATGGTTCTTCTATGGCATCGCTGTGAAGCCTACAGTAGCTAAAGGGAATTTACTCATGTCAATCCAAACCTGTATGACTTAATTTCTTCTGCAGAACACAAAAGATATTTTGAAGAATGATGTAACTAAGCAGTTTTGGTGCACATTGACTTCCAATGCATAGAAGGAGGTTGGGGGTGGGCTATGCCATTTCCATATAAAAAAATAGTCATACAGGTTTGGAAGTACTTGCGAGTGAGCATATTATGACAGACCTGTCATTTTTTGGGGAAATTGTTTCTATTAAATCAGGCCGATGGCTCAATGACATGACATTCATTTTTTGGCCAGAGTATTAATTTATTCAAAAATATATTAAAATGCAAGTAATAAATAAATGACACCTAAAAAGAAAAATGAAATTCTTGTAAAGAAAACCTTAAGTAGTTTGTCATGAGGTCTGGAAAAGAAACACACACACACGCGCAAAACAGGAAATGATATCACAGCAAGAACCCCTGTAGACCATCATAACTGTGTCAAGGTTAATAAGTCTTTTAAATGATCAGAAAATTTGACATTATGACAAGACAAGATTATTTCAGGTTGTAAAGACAGTATCATGTGGTGCAACTCCACTAAAACTTAATGATATTTATGAATTAATAATTCAACATTTAAATACTTTTGAAAATATTACATACTTTTACAAATTTTTATTAAATTTCATTAAATTGTACAAAATGTTGGTACTGTGTTGGGTTGCCACTTGAAATCTGAATGCTGAAGCAACATCAGTTTAGAACTATTACACACTTTAAGACTCATCATGATTGTTAGAACTTTATACTTACAGTGCTGAAAAGGTCAGATCAGACAACAAACATCTTCTTAGGTAGCTTATCATGCAGGAATAATATTGGCATATGACAAATATGGCTGTGGCCATGTTGTAATTTTAATTGTGTTTAATACCACAGAAATACAACACGCCCATGGGAGAAATATTTGTAAAGATATTTGAAATATGCAACATAGCGTCCCGTTCAATTTGACAGCCTTACTCTAGCATATTATTTGCTTGAAGGAATAAGACCCTTTGTTTTCACAGTTCCGTTTTGCTAACCTGAAGAATACAAACAGCCACGAACTTGAGCAGGCAGACACAGGAGCATGTAAACTAACCAAAAGGATGACGTACCAGTGACAAAATGCAGTTTCAATGGCCCCTGTTATTCTATTTCTCTTGAAAATAGATAACTATTCTTTTTCAGCAAGGGGGTATGTAAAAAGTAAGAGTACTGGAAATGAAAGCAATTGGATGTAGTTTTGTGACTTTGGACATTTGGCAGTATTCCGTACCTGCTGTCCTGCTCACTAAACTTTCATCCCAGAACAGATGTTTGAAGGGAGTGTGGGAAAGCAACAGAAGCCATTTGCCCTATTAGAAGTCAGTGTATTATCAGAATGATTCTGAAAGTTATATTTCAAGTCAGAAAACTTACAACATACAGTTGCTTAAAATAACGGGTGCTCCATATGCTCTTCTGAAAGTCAAACCTCTCATGAACCAGTGGCACTGGAGCTCTCAGTACCCCCTCCCTCTTCGTGTGTAATCGGTTGGCTATCATTAGTAGAAGCTGCCAACTGACCTACCTGGTTCACAGTGACCGTGGAGCTTTTTTTGTTTTGTTTTGCTGTGCACACTTGCAACATGCCAGTTTCTCCAGCTTATCGCTCACTGCTTTCCACAGAGCAACAGTTGACTCTGTAGCCTAAGATGACGCTAAACGAGACATGATGAAACTCATTCTGTACATAAGATTCAACATTTGTTCTTGCTTCCGCTGAAGCACAAGATACTCTTTGGATCGTTCTCAAATCATGCAGGAGAACATGATCATCAGGTTTTGCACTTGTGGCGTTTATGAAAACTAAACAAAAAAATTTGTATTCAATTAGGAAAATGTAAAATACAAGCATTTCCATAGAGTTTTGGACCTGAGTGTATGCGTGGAAGGATAAATCCGTCATAGTTCAGCATCTGCTCAGCAGATGATACGGCAGGGTCACATTGTGTCACTAGGGTTGTTGAAAGAGGGCAAATGACACCCGGCTCATGACCTCTGCCTCCTGCTTTTGCCATCCATCTATCCTGTCCTGTCATACTGCGGTCAGTTGAGACCAGTGGTTCCCAACCCTGGTCCTTGAGGCACCCCAACACGGTCTCCTTTCTCTGACACTCCAGTTTCAGGTCTTGGAGTCTCTACTAATGGAGATGATGACCTGAATCAGGTGTGTTTGATTAAGGAGACATGCAAAACGTGCAGTGTTGGGTGCCTCCAGCACCAGGGTTGGGAACCACTGGTCTAGACAGCTCAATGACAGAGGACAGCTTAAAAAAAAGGACATTCCTCATTTTTGCCCTCAAATCTGCTGCTTCTGCTAAAGAGAGAATAACAACCTCACAAGTGTGAAATACTGTTTGCAATGGTGATGACGTGTATACTGAGAGTGGGGTAATGTGCCAGGACCAGTTCACCATGACCTATAATATCAATGTGTGCTGCCAAGAGTAAAGGAGCATGAAGGCCTTAAAATAGATAAAGCCTCTATCAATAATAGTATTACTGAAATAATTGAAATGTACATGCTGTAGCTAGATTCCATCTATGTGCTAAGAACAATTGCACTAGAGCTTTAGACCTGTGACTTCGCATGATGTTTCCACTCATTCATGTTATGGATGAATAATTAAAAATATGCATTTTAAGAGATCACAGGAGCATATTTCCATATGCCAAGCATCAATATAATATCTAATTAATATAATAAACTGTATGTCTCTTATAATAAATTTTAATGTACAAATTCACAACAGAAACTTGAAAGTTGAGAGATGTTTTATATCGAGAAGCTCCAAATATTTATTCCATGACTGTGAGAAACTATGAAACGGAACTATAAAATCCACTGCAAGTCTTTTATATGAATCAGCGAGAAAAGACTTGACAATAAAAGCTTGTTTTGTTTTATTCCTTTCACTTTTTTAATCTTTATTGAATTTGTGTGGCATTTTAAACATATTTACAATTATTGTTTTTTTGTTCAGTTCAGTAAAAATACAAATACAGAACATAGCTTTGTTAAAACTCACCCAGCAACAACAGGGAAGAGTGTTGGCCTGGGCTTCACTCACCATTAGTCAGTCATGTTACTGGGAGAAAAGAAAAGAAGAGAAATGACAGGTACAGGAGCAGCCGGACACCGCTGCTGCCATCTAGAGGGGAGGAGAGGACACATCTCCCTCAGACTGGGATGAGAGGTTTAGAAACTGAGGAACTGAAACGACAGGATATAAAGAGAAAGACCATTGGGGAGCTGATTGATGACACCCAGCATCCCATCAATGATCCTCGAGTCTTTTTGACAGACTGATTCGCACAGTTTCTTCATTACCCAAGATGAGAAAATAATTAGCTTTTCCTTCTCTGGTCAACTACATGAAATTTTCTGAGGATGAGCCATTTTACACGAGTCTGAGAGCATAAGGCTGAGCACATCTTCCAAAGAGACTGAATCAATATTCATTAAGGGTCAATTAAACCAAAACATTAATAAATAAAATCAAACAAAATACTTCAATGTTGGCTGCAGGTTGTGTTTAATCATCTGATATCAGAAATCTGTTTCTCTGTCTGCCATCACCGTGTTTCAGAAAACATGTCCAGGGACATCCAGAGTGTTTACAGCCCAGGACTGAATAAGTCATGTTAAAACTCACATGAAATATTCAGAGGTATGCATTTGACTAATGAAAGCATCCAGAACCTGGAATGACAAAAAAAGTCTTTGACCTCAGTTCAGGAGTATTCCCAAGTCTAAAACATCACACACATCACAGGTTTAGTTGTTATGCAATTGTATTCAAAATCCTTGCACTGTTTTTTTGTGTTTATTTACTCTGGGTGTCTTGTAGAGGGCACACAGTTTATTTTATGAACTCTAAACCCCATATATATAAATCACTACCTTGTTGGCTACGATTAGTGGTAAATCTTGGCTGTTGAAAGAATCTGGTCTAACAGAGCGGCACAATTGACAAATGAAAACAAATGGTGATGGCCATTAGCATTAGCATCTAAAGCACTGCGACTCCTACCCACAAGTTACAGTTACTTCAAGTGTTGATTCATTGTGTTGCAAAATCAACCATCAGCCCATCCGTGTTTCAGAATGCAGTATGAATGACATTCTGGGCATTCACAATGGAAAAAAAAAAAAAAAAAATGCTCAAAATATCAAACATGATAATCTTCAGGTTGGATGGAACCGAAATCTGAAGCCCAAGTCTGTGCACAATGTAAGATCTGTCAATTCCAACTGCGTTTTTTTTATTGGTGAGATTATAAATGGTGCCTGAAGGAAAGTTTTTAAAAAGTGATATTCTTTAGTGTCTCTTTTCTCTTAGCTGTTGAACCAACCTACAGAAATCCCAGATCCAAGAAGAGAGATTTTTTTTAAACACCCACAGGAGAAATGCCTGGAGCTTTGTGCTTTGGTCAGCTGATAAATTATTGAGAATTGATTGGCTGAATTCTGTATGTGGAATACTGCTCGAGTGGGCTTTTCTTCAATTGCTTTACCTACCTCCACGCTGTTTTTTTTTCTTTCAGACAGTCACTTTTTATGTTTATTCATGTCTTTCATGTTCGTTTAATGGTACGATGAGGCATGCAATGTTTCCAGAGAATAACGAACAGGCACAACAGATGGTCCGCTGAATCAGACCGTATCAATGTACAGTATATTCATCAAACAAGCTTTTGGAGTCAGTGCTTTTACCTTTCATATCTTACATTGTCAGTCACCCTCTTTCCTGCTTTCATCACTTTCTCTTAATTTCTTTTTTTTTTCAGAATAGGACATGCCTATCATGTCCTAATAGGATCATCATATCATATCAGTTGACTCTCCGCTCTATTAATTGCACTGGATGGGAAGCAGCTCTTTGAAGTTGGGTCTGATAGTCGCTCATGCACATGTGGAGGACTCTGGGTTGGCTGATCAAAGTTCCATATTGTCATTCACTGGCCATCGTGCACATATCAAAGCATCTCTTTGGGTTCTATGGGGGATTTTTGTAGCATACGCCAAAGTGTGCCACCAGGGACT